CCTCAGAGCACTCCCCATGGAACATACGGTACAAAATACAGAGGGAACCGAAGTCCCTCCGCAGACCCAGAGGTTCCAAACGATCCGTGAGAATGGGATTATCGACAATCCGAACGGCCCTCCTTTGTATGGAGTCAAATGGAAGAAGCTGGTATTTGGGAGCCCCGGCCCAGAGATGGGAGCAGTACTCCACGCGAGGCCGGACTTGTGCTTTATAAAGCAAAAGCCTTTCCTTTAAGCTGAATCTCATTACTGCTTCAAGGCAGAAATACGCCAGGGTGGTGGTACCTACCCGTGCGGACACTCACAAGACGTCCATCACCAGTAATTACGTAAATTATAATATAATTTTGCGGGTTTGATTTTTATTACAGGATGCTATTCCTTCATTGTGGAAATTAATGGTGAACATTTGTCGAGTACGTATTTCATTTGAAAGATTGGTACCTGCCGGCAGGATTCGAACAGGACCGGACGTCTTATCCTTTAGGCCACGACGACTTCTAATAATTAAATATTCCTCTGAATTCTTAATACCTAACAGTTTTTTTTATTAAGATCATAAAAATAAAATTTTTCCTAATGAGATCTGTTAGTTTATTGACGAAAAAGATACTATAGTAGATGTTTGAGTCTATTTATTTTTATGATTAAATTCTCATACAATATTAGCGCAATGAGTTTCACTGAATTATAACATCAAAGCAATACCAGAAACTTTTTGGTTAAATACGTTATGACTTTTCCATTGGACGTTGACGCTTAAATATTTTGAAGCCGGTATTGTTTCAAAACACCTGCGAAAACAAGTTATGGCAGTGAAACGCGAGGAAAAATCGCCGCCATTATGTACATCTCACCATGCTGATTATTTCCTTAATACATTACTTGTATTTATTTATGGCCTCTATAGAGAGGGGACCATACAATCCATCTGATAATTGGTGGCCAACGTCGATCATGGTCGTCAGCAATGAGGCCAAGCCACTGCCTACCGTTGAAGCCCGCTTACATGGGGAGACAAGAAAATAAGCTTGGCGATTACAGTTAATTTCCGATTCAACTCCTCCTCATCCTCTTTCGGTCGATCGCTCATTGCTGAGTATCGTGATGCGCCGGCCTGTGACTTTTTTTGTGATATGTAGCCACTTATGTCGATTAGTGGCACAGTGAAGTGCTTGGCTCAGTCTCGTGTCCAGATGCTCGGACACTTGGTCATAACATATTTCTTGGCTTCGACCTCTGGATCGTCTTCCACCCACTTTATCTATCACTATGACTTTCTCCAGGTTGTCAGAGGGTTTTCTTGCTATATGACCAAAATACTGGAGCACTGTATTTTGGTGGATAGCCACCATAAGCATATGGTGAGTAGCCTCTGGTCAACTTTTAGCTCGTTGAGGATGGAAGCGTTCGTCCGGAAAGCCGTCCAAGGGATGCGCAAAATGCACCGTTAGCACCACATCACACCACACAAATTTCAACTAATCTACTAAAATTTGTACTAAATGAAATATTCCACCAAAAAGGCGACCAGTAATCCTTCAAACATAAAAAAACAATATATTTGATAGAACATTACGAAAATGTCTTCATATCCTTCTTCAAACGAGGCTTGTGGAGAGTACTTAGTGGTAGGTAGCTTCTCGGCTCTGCCCTTGGCATTGCTGAAGTCCATGGGCGACGGTAACCACTCACCATTGGTTGCGCCGTATGCTCGTCTGACTACAAGGGCAATAAAAAAAAGTGGACAAAATAAAACACAAGAGTTGTACTGGCGATCTTATCGTTTCCAGATTGTTCTCCAGACAAAAGTTGAGCGAAAATAAACTCGAAGTAAAGAAGACTGCTGTGCATGTGAAATCAGACTAATTTATTCCTAACACATTTTATTTAAAATTCCTTTTGATGCTGAATTCAACAAGAATAACAATTTCTTGAAAATTTTTCATACATATTAAAATTAATTTATGTAAATAAACTATGACAGATTTCTCAATATATATAATCTTTAGCAAATCGTTAATATACACAAGAGTATCAGGATTTACTGGCATTACAAAATACATTCACGATGATATCGCATCTAATCATTCGTGAGAAAAATGTGAGGGTACCTTAGTTTAATTAGGAACGATAATTTGACATGCCCTGACAGCTAATATTGTGTTGAAATTGATTTGTGTTCAAAGTAGAATTAATTTTGACAGAGTCAATAAGCCACCGCTCTTCAGCTAGTAAGTGTGAAGTTGAAAGCTTCATATTATATTAGGAATAGATAATGACAGACCAGTAATCAAAGAAAGTACCTTCGATGATTTTGTGAGAATTCGATAATCATTCTTTTGGCAGCCGTTGATTACTGGTGGTATTGAAGAAAGGTTTATGTGTATTTAGACGACCGTCTCGTTTTCTTTAACGTGATTAGGCTAAAGCTTGTAAGCTCGTGACGTTGGTTGCTGATTTTTGGACTTCAGAGAATCGTCATCAGCGAATTAAAAATTACGAATATTTACCTACCTCCAAAAATTTAAATGAATATTTTTTAATATAGAACCGATACAAAAATATTAGGTATATACTCTGTCCTACTTATGCAAAGAGCCAACTAAAATAATAGAAATCATAATTCGTGTTTTATAACTAATTCACTAAAATGGGCTATTAATATGATATTGTGTTTCGCATTAAACCATCATCCATAGGCATACAAGTCATACCCATGTTTTTATGTTGTAGTTATAGACCAGTTAACAGCCCATCCAGTCCTAAGCAGTTACTAGTGCCCGCTCACATCACACAGTAAATGCAGCCAACACATAGATCGAAGCCATCTCAGATTGAAATTTATCATTTAGAATCATGCCTGTCCTACTATTCGAACTGAACAGTTCTTATATTTCACAGCCGAAACAAGAAAGTTGCCAAGCCAACAATATTAATTAAGGCGGTAACTAAGAAAATTATGGAATTGCATACTTTATGCATTTTAGAATACACCACAAGATCAATAACGCATACCGTACCTTATTTATTTATGCTTATTTATACTTATTGTACATAAAAGAAAATACAATAAAAACAGATTTAAAGAATGTCTAAATACTATGTACAAAGGCGAGCGTAACTCATTCATGAGTTTTCTTCTAGCAAACCATTAGACCACCAGCAGAGAGAAATACGATGTATAAGAGGAGAAAAGTGTACAATATAAAAGGTATTAAAGCATGACAATTAAATTAAGCTTACCTTCATAGCGTACTTTCATATTATTTTCCAACTAAATTATAACTAGCTAACTAACTTACTGCTGTTTATAAACAAACTATTTAAACTACTAGCTGTAACCGTCCGCTTCGCTGGCCATTTAAAATTAACATTATTATTTCTCACCCCCACAAAGATTCTCATCATTAACGCCCCCGCAACTAGTGTCCAACGCTTATATAAATATTAGGCTATCCATTAAGTACATGTATTTTCTACATGGATACGAAGTTTCAAGTCAATCGGATGTATGGTTCAGTCGTTATAACGGAACATCCGTAAAAACCACTGTAGATTTATGTATTAGTATAGATGTAGCGTGTTGTTGACATGACTGCTCCATCGCTTAGAATACAACAGCTGTACGACACTTCAACGCCTAACTAACCCTATCCTACATATCACTATTCACTGGAGGGGAGAGTGTTTGCCGCTCCTCTGCGCTGGGGTCCACTCCCCGTCTCTCCAATTATTTACAAGAAGTGATACAATAATAGTGTTAAGGAGAGTACTTCAGCTGGTGTGAGGCCTATTCCTGAAGGTAGTGACGGAGGGACTATAGCCCCTCTTCGAAATGTGCTGCATCCAGGTGCAGTTACGATGACCAGGGTGGAGCATCGCTATAAAAAGGGGGATGACTTGGATGGGGCTGGTTAAAATTCAGTCCCGTGGGGAGTAGTCATATCTTCTCTCAGGCCCTACAGCCGTCAAGGGTCATTTAACTCAATACGACAATCGTAGAGTTCAGGACCTCCCGTGGCAACGCCTTATCAGCTGGTCTGGCGTGCAGCGGGACAATATACAGTGCTGGGTACTTGACAAAGAGTCTGAATTAAGTTTCAATGTCAGAAATCATAGTACAACGCCTGCTTAAACTACTTATTATCCAATTGCAGTCTACTAGCATAATCCAACACAAAATTATTATATTATTATAAATATGTACAATTTACAACACAACGAAAATACATTTTCTTCAAAAGAATTTAGGAAATGCATTCGAGATTCAAAAATATATGTACATATAAAAAAATTTAAATAAAAAATCTGAATCGTTAATTATGAAGCGAGAGAACAAAAACCGTGTTCGTCTTGATACGTTGTTACCGATGCACAATGGCCTAAAGATAACGAGACAGGAACCTATTTAAAATTCCTTCAAATCGTATAAGGCTTTTATGGTTGTGTTTAACACGATTATTATATTTTAAGAGGCTCGTTGTGACTTGCACTTTGTGCGTATCGGAGCGGCCCCGCCTGAGGTGTCGAAATGTCGAATAATAGCTGCGCGTCTGACTTGATTGATTAATGACAGAGCCGGCGAAAACAGAGCGGCTACCTAATTAAATACTCCCGAAGGCTTCAGCTTAAATGACTTGAAGATCACACAGAACGAACGCCTTGTTGACGCCTTGGTGGATTGGTCAAAAACTGTTCAAACTGGTCATGTTTCAGTTTTCTAACATCCGACACACCTTAACCTCAAGATATTAATAGTTTTTATTAATTTTTTTATTCAGGAAAAGCAACCTTTTTTAGTGGTAATTTACTTTTAATTAATTACTTTAAAACGCATCGAAATTGTCAAAATATTTCGAGTTAGTTATTTGAGTGACTGCGTCATTATCATAACGCGTCAAACGTAGTGGCCATATTAAATACAAGAAATAAGCACTAGATAGTGACTGAACATTTCATTTAAAACTGTTTGGCCACTTCAAAACATAAAAAAAATGGTTTATTATTATACCGTGAATAATATAAAGTTAGTGAAGAATTTAATTGATGATTTTGGTTCCATAAATGAAATGACTCCTCATGAATTTATGGAAGCCTACATAGAAAGTTTTCCAGAAAGTGGTGACGATGAGAAATTGAAATGGATTACGGAAACATTCTTGGGTGTACAAAGACATAATAAGTTTTTACAAGCGATTTCGAACAATTTTTTTAGTCAATTATGCGAGGAAGACCAATTATATTTCATGATTTTATTTTATGCAATCACTTTTGAAATGGAGCCGTCTAATACAAACTCGTTTTACAAATGCCTTTTCAATTTAAGCAAGCCTGTACTACATATTTTTACTAAGTTTCTGCACGGCGACGAGGGATTGAATGAGGTTTCAGAAATAGCTCATCAATATTACGATACGAAATTCGTTACAAAAAATATAATAAAACCACTATTTGGTTGGCAACCATACATAAAGGAAATGGGATGCAATTATGCTGAACATATGTATAAAATAGAAAACAAAAAGCACAAACCACCAACGGTACCTCTAAATCTCAACGTATTGAATCGAAAGGCAAAATCTACCGTTGCATCGGACCTCAATGATAACGTTTTACCTCCCCTAACTCCTCCTAATTCTGTACAGAATAAAATCCGAAAAATGGTAACTAAATCCGCTATTGATAAAAAATTGAAATTAATTCATATTAGAAATCAAGAAAAGGCGACACTGTTGCTTAATGAGGTAAAGAAAAAAAATTATAATTATTTAAAAACAAAATCGAAGCAACCTAAGTCGACCATTAATGAAGAATTGCCCAAAAATATTTTATCACCCATTCCCCAACACAAGCATCCAGTACAACAAAGTCATCCCGTACCTATTGTTCGAGAGAATGCTATTACCATAAAGCGACTTCATAAGAGAGTTAATGATATTGAACAAAAAGAAGTGCAGTGGCTAGAAAATATTCTTCAGTCTTGTGGAAATGCTGCAAAAATAGCAGAGCTGGAAGAGTTTGACAGAAGAGAACGAGAACGAGAAAGGCTTTTAGAAATTGAAAAAAGGCATTTACAAGGACAAATTTCCCACGAAGATGCTGCTATAGCAAAAACCATACTGAAGCAAGAGATCAGAAACAAGTATGAACAATTTAAGAAAGAAAAAGAAATATGGACTAAAGAACTAGAAAAATGGAAAACAAATCAAATAGAGAACAATCGCAAACTTATTGAAAAACTTTCTGTAATCGAACTAAGACTTCTCGAAGCGAGAAATAATCTAACGGCAAAAAAGAAGGAAGCAGCTGAGAACATTAAAAAAGAGACTGAAATTATGGTAGCCAATGCAATGAAATTGAAAACTGAAGAACTAGAAAGGAAAACAACTATGATAAAAGAAATAAAATTACTGTCAGAAATAGCAAAAAAGGCAAGATCTCCCAAAATTATAGATCTGACAGAGACATCAGGTATCGGTTTACTGTGTGAAATGTCAATGGCAGAGTTGCAGGAACGATTAAATGTTATGAAAATTGGACTAAAGGATGAACTTGAACAGAAGAAAAAACACATCAGCGAAGAAAACATAGCCGTAAAAAAGGATTTAGAGGACAGTAAAATAAAAATCAAAGATTTTATGAACGACCAAGCCCACATGAGAAAACAAAATAAAAAAACTATTTCTAATACGGATAAAATTCCCACAAAAGAAATAAACGATTTAAAGACTATTTTAGAAGAAAAAAGAAAATTACGATTAAAATTAACAAGTTAACTATTGAGAGTGAATATTTTGAGTTCTCTAAATATATTTATTGTGAAGTTTCTATACGAGATTTTGTATTGACTATTTATCATTGGAAATTTATTGAATTCTATAACTTTAACATCAATTAAAATGAATCCAATATATCCTTAAAGCTATATGAATGAAGATGTACAACAATAAAATATTCTGTAGGCCATAGAGTATACAAGCTGGTAGAAAGGAAACAAAAGCACAAACATAAAATAAGTGAACCGAAAATAAAATTTTTCGATATTAGATGATCATAAAACACGAATGCTAAAAACTTAACCCGAATTCATGGACGACTTCCACGATGAACAAATAACATAATTTATAAATTTATATCATTTACAAAATAGTACCACTTATATTATTGATAAATTTGAGTAATTACTAATGCTAGTTAAGTTGTAAGCCGGCACAGGTAGGTACCACTATCTTGTTTGTTTTTGCCGCGAAACAGTTTGAAGGGTGGGACAGCCGTTAGCAATACAATTACGGCGTCTGGTGATATACGTGGTGTTTATAGGCCTATTATCTATTTAACCGTAGTCAGGCCGAGAGCTCGTTCACCAATCTACGCCATGGAAAAAGAAAGATTTCAAACCGATAAAATTATGGGACTATTTTAATACCTATTAAGACTCCGTATATAATATACCTATATAAAATAAATGTAAAATGCTAGTTTCAAAGGTGAGAATCGAAAAAGTGGGATTGTTGTAAAAGCGATTTTTACAAAAAATAAATGATGTATGAATATTTTTGTCAATTTGTCATTGATAATTATGGAATCCAAAGTACACCATATTAACTGCCATCAGCATTTGACAAGTTGGTAGTACAGAACTAGGTNGAGACACAAAACAAACGACTAACAAATATATGAAAATACAATAATGAGAGAAACGCGCGATCAGTACGAGGCTTTGTGGCGGACTGCCGGCGCAGGCGCATAACGCATTTCGTGTGACATGCTAGTACGATTTTGGTCCCCATAATTTTCATACCCCGGGCCTATATATGTAAATCGATTCTAAAGGAGTAAACTCCAATAAATAAATGTTATTATTTTAAAAATTTATATTATGAGCGGAGAATGCATCTTATTATAACATGCTATTTTTAAAATCTATAATAATTATTCAAATTAGATGAGTAAATTAGTAGTAAATCCACGCCTACGCACACACACACAATCTTAACTATTGACTTAAAGCTCGTCTTCCTGTAGACACGTGTAAACGTCGGCATCAACAGATCTTTTAGAACGTAACCAAAGTCCAAGAAACCTAGCCATAATTCGGATTAAGGTAATAAATAAAGCGGGTTTGCCTGTTCATTTGTATCGGCGTATAATTTAAATTCTTTAACGCCAATGTTCAAGATTACGCGGCGAGATAGAGGCGCGGGCGCCCGTGTCGACGCGACAACCACCAAATAAATTTATATTTCCGACCGGCACCGGACCGACTTCTCTCTTTGTAGATAATTCGGCCGGTAACGTTGAATGACTCTATTAACAGCTTCCCTTTTTAGGATAAATGTCGTCTTCGGATTTAGTTCTGTTGTACCTGAATGTGTAGTCGTGATTAGCAGGTCAATATATGCTCATTGTGTTTCAATGAACCTAATGCTAAATGCTATTTTATCTTTTTTAATACAGTATAAAATTAAAAATATTAATTTTTTTTGCTAGTTGATAATTGGATGAGCTCACAGCTCTAACTGAATCTGATGAGCTGGAGATGCGCTTAGGACATGATATCCCCCTTCCTCAGCCATGAGGTGGAAGTCTCAATTGAATGATTGCTTCTCGGCAAAAATAATTTAGACAATGGTAACGATCACTGCGAGATTTGAACAGAAAATAAACATTGTGTTTATTTCAGTAATCTTTATTATTACTATATTTATTATGTGTTTTTTGGTAAGCGTATGCATCTTAACTCTATATAGATAAAAAAATGCTAATTAACTAATTAATTGCTGTCTATTTGTACTTTTGTTGGAGCAAAACTACGGGAACGATTTTGAAACAACGTGTTTTCATTGTAAAATCCTTGTGAATAATACTATTTTTTTACTCCAAATTAATAGACAGAGGCAAAAGCATGCTCTACGTCAGAATAATATACAAAATATTTATTGAATAAGAAAACTTTCAAAATAATTAATTTGTTAAAATACTCGTTATCATTCAGATATTTAAACACACTCGTACACCTAATGAAGGCTTAACAAATGTTTTAGTAACCGTTTGTACGGACTATGGATGTGGTTCTCGTTTCGAGATTCACCCGATAACATTAAAACGTCAATAACCACCTAATTGGAAGAGAACACTCTGCCCACAAACACAAAATCCCGTCGTGAGTGAGAAATAAATAAATATTGTAACACATGACGAGATAATTTGGCCGATAACTTAATGTGCTTACATTTGGGATCTGCTCATGATTTTATGGGAAACTATGACACCGTATCAGTGGATCTTTTACGCTTTTTATGCTTTAAATGGGTGCCGGTTTTTTAATTCTTTCATTATGTTTTAATGATTTATAAATTCATATTGGATAATTGGAAATTTCCGGCGCATGCGTACCGTGATGTTTTTATAGACGTCATAAGATATTTAAATGTAGTTGTATCAACAATTTAATCAGGGATACATTTTTCGTTTCACAATATTTTCGTATGCAATAATAAAAATATCGTTTGAAATATTCGATTGCAGTGTCATAGTATCCGTTTGTTATAAATCATGATTGTTGAATGTCAAATTATTTTCTCTGAACAACTAGATGCTTTGAAAGAAATTTCGATTTAGCACCGGATAGATGAAGATTTTAAAGTTTATTTAATAAAATTACGCAGCGCAATTTGCTCTTCTGCATTCGTTAAAAACAAAAACGAAATTACTTTCTCGGTTTAAAATCACAAGCCAGTTTGTGTAGCATTTTATGGCTTTATCACTTTGGAGAATCTGAATAAAATGTACTCATTCACGTCCCCACTAAAGTTGGGAAGGCTAATTTCGAATCTCGGCCCGAAAATCTCATCCTCTTATTACGACCAGCGACATTATTTTATTAGCCTCCGTATCGTGGCGTTCAAAAGTGGGTATATTAAAGAATTTATGTTATGATTGCTCAGCCAATTTGCATATGAATAATAACTGAATTTTATTTGCGAATGATGTCATATTTTCTGGTGTTTTGTAAGGTAATGTGCGAAGGAAATTAACAAGGGTAAAGTCGTATCGTGTTAATGTGATCACAAAGTAAACGAGGCTTTCTGAATACGTTGCGATAAAAATATGTAATGAAANGGGTATATTAAAGAATTTATGTTATGATTGCTCAGCCAATTTGCATATGAATAATAACTGAATTTTATTTGCGAATGATGTCATATTTTCTGGTGTTTTGTAAGGTAATGTGCGAAGGAAATTAACAAGGGTAAAGTCGTATCGTGTTAATGTGATCACAAAGTAAACGAGGCTTTCTGAATACGTTGCGATAAAAATATGTAATGAAACCACGGATTGCGTTTATTACCGGTGCCTTAAATTTAATTGAAATTCGATCGAATTTCTTATTTGTGAAAAAATACAAAATTTATTATTGACATATAAAGTTCACATATTATTTACAAGACATATAAAGAAGAGAGAGAGTGAGAGAGTATACTTTATTACACACCAAAACACAGATTATATTAAAATAAAACAGTGAACACAGATATAGATATTTATATATACACATATTACGACTAATACAAAATACCTGTTTTATTTTGCGCTAAATAAAATGCGCTTTACATAGAAAAACCTATAAAAAAATGAAATGGGCGGCATTCTTGCGCTAACAGTAATAATATTTTCCATAAAATCATCTGACGGAAAAAAGGAAGACTTGAACTGTGTTGGTTTAGATTTTAAATAGAGCATTAAATTATTATAACGAATTATTAATAAAGAAGAACGGTTTATATGCTGTAACCAAAAAGTTCACTACAATGAAATCAAAATCGATAACTGACATAGTATGTAATAAACTTATGAAACGCAATAAAGAAACCACTAACTTTATTGTCGACTAATCTAACTCATACGCTGTATATTAACGCTTTTACGACTTTAAGTATTGAGAAGACAGCGCATTGTAGACGCATCGTTTCACACCGTGCTCCCTTAATCTTTATCATTGGTCCCCGTGACAGGAGCACGGCGTGTGAAACGCGTAAATACAAAACACAGTACGAGTTCAGCTTTGTTTTGCAGTGAATTTCAGTAACATTTCGCTAAATCTATATATACGTGATAATACGTGAAGGAAAAACTTTGTATCCCTTTTTACGAAAATTGCGCGGACGGAAGAGTATGAAATTTCTCACACTTATAGAGAATATAGAGAAGGAGTGCAGAATGATAATTTTTTTTTTAATTATGCCTACAAAATACATCAAATTAATAAAAAAAACATTACACACACTACCATGTATTTGACGCACACACGCATGTATACTATTTATTATTGTCAAACTTTTGTTCTTGACGGCTGTGGTCAAATTGAGAATAGATTAAATATTGTTTGTCTTTATTATAATTTGTCTAAAGTGTAGTCTTGGCGTTTGTGATTATATAGAAATATAGCCTTTGAAAATAGAACTATAATAGTGTACAAACTTACAATTTCAGTTAATTATAGTCGAATTTCGACTACTGCGAGACACATATAAATAGAGTGTGAAGGAATCATTCTTTTCAATATTGTTTGACGGGGGTATAGGGAGACCCAGTGAAACGGTGTTCGCCGCCGCCCGCCGGTCAGTTGGGGACCTGAACCCGGGTGTCACTACTAAACTCCGCCCCGGGAAGCTGTCCCGCCAACCGGTGTAAAATCCTGTCGTGCGGTCGTCGTGCCGGAGTCGGAGACCGGAGTGGATCCCGGCGATCGCACGCAGGGTGGACTGGGGGCCCTTCCATGCCCTGCGTCAGTCGCTCACGCAACCCGTGGTCGAGCACGTACTGTGCTCCGCGCTTTATTCAGGTATTGTCACGATTTCGCCTCGAACATCCTACCCCGCCCAATCCCACTCTCCAAATAAAAAAAATTAAAAAAAATGAAAGTTCGAAAAAGGAAAAGGGTTTTGTCGGCGACTCCCCATTCCACATTTAATGTGGATTTCAGCAATGTAAGGGGTCTACATAGCAACCTCGACGCCGTACACCACCATCTTGAGACGGCGCAGCCTGCCCTTCTTTTTCTGACGGAGACGCAGATATCTGCTCCGGATGATACTTCGTACCTTGAATACCCCGGCTACGTATTGGAGCACAACTTCCTGCGTAAAGCCGGGGTGTGTGTATTCGTCCGGGCTGATGTCTGTTGTCGCCGTCTACGA